TCTTTTTTTATATAGGATAAATAGTATGTTTGATGTTCATATCTTTTATAATTTATACTTTATTGTTGCGGATGAAAGTCTCATTACTTTACTATCACGTCAGACTCGAGACAATAATGAGAATTTATGATATGCATTACTTACATTGATAAAAGACTCTACTTGAGTTACACTGATCTTTACAAAGTAAAACAACTATTCATTTATCAAGCTGTCAACATGCTTTTCCCCATGTAGTGTACAGTACACTGCATATGTACTGTACATATATTCAGTTTTATTATGTTTAATACATATCTGTTTTTCTGACCTTCACCATGTCAGATTAGAGTTAAGCTCCATCCACCTCAACTGTGTGTGTTTGTGTGTGTGTTTGTGTAGGTGTGTCTGCGATATTTCTAACCGTCATTCATTCTGTAACTGTCTGTACTTGTTGTTTGGCGTCTGCCCCTTCAACCAACAATTCACACTTCTCGTGTGTGTGCTCTTTTATGTCTTTTTGAGGACATTTTTTACAAAGTATAAGTAAAGTTAATCAAATGAACTAATGTTTAAGATTGGTTTTGAAATCTTGTTTATATTACTTAAAACTTGTTAAAACTCAATTTAAGGTAAGAATTAGGTTTATGTAATAATAATAATAATAATAAACTTTATTTATATAGCACCTTTCATGCTTGACGCAGCCCAAAGTGCTTTACAGAGTTATAAAGGTTTGGGTTGAAATGTCAGAGAGGGATCTCACAAGTAAAGATACATGTTTATTTGAGTCTAACTAGACTAGGTTAGCATTAGCGAAGGAGCACACCACACCCCTTTGCTGTGTGTGTGTGTTTGTGTGTGTGTGTGTGCCTGTGTATGCCAGCTCACTCCCCCAACGGCAGCAGCATTGCAAAACAACAACTCAGACTTAAAAGTAGTAGCTGATGTCAACAGCTGTGAAACTAAAAACAGGAGCTGCAGTAGATACAATAGAGACAGGACAGCCCAAACAGAAGTGTCCTTGAGCAAGGCACTGAACGCTCTGTTTTATTAGATAATAACAGAACTCGTCTGATCTGCAGGTCAAAGGGCAGTCTGAGGAGGCTGTCTATTTGGCATCACGTCCCTTCTTAACACAAATGTTCACTCTGTCTTCATTTTGTTCCACAAGATTTTATTAGCATAAGATTGTATGAGCTACTGTTATGTGAGTGGATTAAATCATCCAAGGGTGCATTAACTCACCAAACAAAGAGGGTTACTGAACCTCTCACTGACTGTGGTTTTGATAATGTGAACATTATCAAATCTGTAGGAACTTTTGAATATTGTCCGAAAACCATTTTAGCTGACAGGAAAGCCCTGCAACGGGTAGTGAAAAATGGCCAGCACATCATCAGAGCCCCGCACCCTGCCATTGCTGACCTCTGCGTGTCTCAACGGGCTCACAGCATCATCAAGGAACCCTCACACCCCAACCATGGACTGTTTGCCTCTCATTAGGAAGTCAGTACAGGAGCCTTTGATCCCGCACCAGCAGGCTCAGGAACAGTTTCTTCCACCACACCATAACCTTGCTGAACTCTCACAAACTCAGCACTATACTCCACTCCCAATACATGACCTTCAAACTACAGAACTAGCACCACCACACCTCCCTTTCATACTTCTTTAAACTTATGTATGCCTTAAACCCTGCCCCTTATCCGTGAATGCTTTAACGTTGACTACTCTTAGCACTTCTGGTTTGATGCAAACTGCATTTCGTTGTGCTATGTGCAATGGCAATAGTGTTTAATGTTTTCTAATCTTTAAACAGATAATTTGTTTAAAACATTCTGAATTAAATGTAGGATCTGATATACAATGGACGTTCACGGTAAATGAAGGCCCATGTGAATCGTTTTGTATTAATTCCAAAACTCTATATTTTAGAAGATTTATTAGGTATTATCTGTATTGAAGGACTGAGCCTAGTCGCCAATAATAATCGGACAACAAAAGGGCATGCAAAGAGCCTCTTCTTTTTAGTACAGGATGACGTAAGTATGTAAGAGGTTGCTATGCTTGTTGGCTATATTTAGATATTTGTTTTTATAAATGAGCAGGGAAAATAAGATAAAAACACATTGATGTATTTTTTCTCCCTCATTTCTTTTAGGAAAAAACGTTTCAACTTTATCTCAGTATTTATATTACTATATCTACTATGCTTTATTTTTATTTATTTACATGCTTTACTGATACAGCACATGTGTGGGAGAGAATTTAGGGATGTGGTGTATGGTGGCCGACAGGTGCAAATGAGCTACAAAGACCCAAAACACTGTCATTGGGAGAAATGCGCTGCACTCTCAAAAACATGCAAATATAAAAACATACATTTCACCCACTTGACGAAACATTCGCATGGTTTACTAATATTATTCCAGATCTGCTGTAAGCTAGCAAGCTAACGTAGATAACCTAGTCATTTCAAATATACTGACAAAACCCTTTTAACACAATTATGAAACAGGCTTACTCTGGCAGTGCGTTTCTCCTAATGGAAACGTTTTGGGCCATTGTAATGAGTTGGCTCCTGTCGGCCACTGTGCAAACTAGCCTGCTGTTCCCAGGTCAAAAAATACTTGTAACGCCTTTATTTTTACATATTATTGTGCTTACAGGACGTGTATTTCTAACTACGGTAATACATACACATTCCACAGGTATTCGGACAAACATGGGTGTAGAGGGGGCCGATGCTCCATATCTGCCCCAGGAACACTCGGCTTGTATTTCCAGACCTGAGGCCTGTACTACGAAGCTGGTTCAACCTAACCTGGATATGTTTGAGTTAGCCGGTTGGCCTAATCCAACACATACGCGCTCTCGCTAAGCGGTCCTACGACGCTGGTTATCAAGTGGATCGCTCAAGCCAGCCGTGCCCTATCTAGTTAGGTGCGCGTTCACATGAAAGGGGTGGTATTTGGAGCATTCGACCAATCACAAACATGGACAAGCACACTGACAGCGCAGCGTCATACTTCCTGAATGAAAAGTGAACTTTAATATTAATCAAATATGAAGAAGTTAAACTTTAAACATCCATGACTTAAACACTTTATCCAGGATAAAAGCCACATAGCTGCACCTGCAAGGTGAATACAGCTGGTAAAAGAAAAAGCGTTTGAATGCGTCCATTAACAGGTTTATGATATCACTGCCCCGTCCAAGACACGAGTGGATCTGACTTTAATTACATTTGACTCGAGTGTTTCGTCAACTTAATGTGTTGCTTAAAATAATACTTCTGCATACAGTATGTGACACTGTAAGTGTTGCACGGCCAGATACGACTCAAGAAGCTGACTCAAATAAGGAAATATATGATACATTATGATGTGATATGATGTGATATGAATGATAATGGGACACATCGACGTCTGCACTCACAGTGCCGCGGACTGTAGGCTACGTAATGTTACTTTGATCCGGTTACTTATGTTGTGGCAGATATTTAATTAAGCTTTCTTAACATAATAGTATAATAGTTATAGGCTAATAGTCAGATTGCTCTGAAGATGGGAGGTGATATTCTATTCATTTTCACGTTCACACAGTCGATGATTTTGTCTTTCCTGCAACAGCAGTTTAAACTGTATTTCCTCCGCACACTGAGCTCTGATTGGTCAGCAGGCGGTGCTTTCACTGAGTTGATCTCTTATCCTGGAACCTATCCTGCTCCGGAGCAGGCTAGCCGCTCAGCATAAGTTACCATGGAGATCTAGCCTGCTAAAAAGAGAACCAGCGTCTTAGGACCGGAAAGCCCGAGTTTTCCCTGAAGTTAGCCGGCTAAGCGAAAATCCGGCTTCATAGTACAGGCCTCTGATCTCATCTCTGCCTGGACAGGACGTGCTGAACAAGAAATACATGAGTGCTGGAAGTACCTGGCCATTAACCCCCCCCCCGCTTCTTTTACATATTATGTTTTTGGAATAAAAATATTGTTATGTAATGTGACGTATGATGCCCAAAGAGCAGACTTACAGTTAGCAATGAAAGCAGAGAAGGAATTAGTGATTAAGTTGTCTAGTATTGATTATATACCGTTTTTTGTTAACAATTTGTTAAATGGAATATGGGACTTCACCTTCTTTAAACGTTTTTATGTGATAGCATGTCATCCTGTTGCTAAATCTAGTCAAAATAGAGAACAGATGTTTGTTTTAAATCATCAAACCAATTTATTTGTACTAGTTCAGAGAGGGCAAAAAAGCCAAACACACAAAAAAAGATGTGTTAATCGGTATGCATTTCAGCCTGAAAAACTTGTTCTCATGTTTAGTGTTTGCAGTTGCTGCTCTGTCACTTTGAAGGATAAAACAGATACTATATTAAAGTAGGAAACATCGATTACCTGCTGTTTCTCAGTCTTTGACCCGTTAACATTATTAGTTAATGACACAAAGAGGCTTAAACCTCCCTGCTCACTGCACTTTATGTAATCCTCTTCAGCTGCTCTCCATGCAGGTCCCTACTTCCTGCTTTAAAGCCTGTCTACAATGTCTGAATAGGAACATTATACGTCTCATGTTAGTTAAAATGATTTTACTTGTGAGATCATAGGATGCATTAGAAAAGCCTATGTATGATTATAAGATCTAAAAGTATGATAAATCTGCACGTCAACAGACGTCAGTTATGGGTGTGTGGAAAAAACTAAATTAAGTCATCTGTATCTATTCATTTTACAGTATTGCAACCCATAAAAGTGTCTGCATGTTTAATGCAGACACATGCATTTAATGTTATATTTCATGATTTCTTGAATCCCCATTGTTGCTGTTCCACTAACATGATGTCATGTGACCGACTTGTTAATTGAATTCATGTGTTCAGCACTCCATATTTACTTTTACATGGTTAAATATGCATTATTTGCTCAGAAAAGTGACACACTGACCCGGATAAATTTGACAAAAAACTCACCATCACACTAATTCATATCAACAAACACAATAAAGAAGCACAAGTTGCATCAATCCGATATTTATTTCTGATTTTTTTCTTCTGTTCTTCTTCACAGTTAATATATTTTTTTTTCAATGACAGTCTGCATCGGCCAATCATCTGCAGCCTAATCCAGCCAACTCGATGCCGATTGGCTGTTCAGGCTCACTCCCACCACCGATCCCATCTCCCTTTGTGTGCAACAATAACAACAGAAAGGCAGCACATTACAGCACATTGTACATTACCAAACATGAACAAAATGTAAACCGTAAAAAAAAATCATCCGTCAAAATGTTTTCCTTTAATCTTGCATTCATTTAAGCTTTTTTTCTTAAACATATACAAATACCAACATGGTGAGATAATTTCAATTATTTTAAGCATCTTCACATGAACTAAGGCAGACCACTGCATGAGTATTAAAACAATGACACTTCAAAAAAAGTATCTGCTGTAAACTGATGGAATCATCTCACCTTGCAAGCATATTCCTAACATTTTAAGGCTTAATGAGTTGACAAGATGATGAGATTTTTTTTCAGTGAACATGAAGCAGAACAAACCTGTCCCCGAGGTTAGAGTTTCACACTGTCGAGAACAAAATAGTCTCATGAGAGTTTCTTTTCAGGGTGTCAGGATGTCACAGAACTCAACAAAGTCTCTCTGCATGAAGTTCTGGCTCTGCATCAGGTCGTCTTCAGAGGGGAAATACTGCATGCTGTCCTCCTGCAGACGCAGACTGTCCTCATGCAGAACCACGATCTGTCCAGGGGGCGCTGTTGAGCTGTGTGGGTTGGGACTGTCCAACAGGGCTCCTCTTGCATTTTCCAGGACGCACAGGTATGAGTCCATGTCTGTGAGCTCCACCTCGCTATCCGAGCTGCTCCCACTGTCACTCCCCACTGAGTCGGAGCGCATGTGTAGCATCTGGTACTTCTCGTGCATCAAAAACTGGTTTGTGTTCTTGGGGGCTCGCATCCCCCTCGCTCTGTTCCCTTTAATGTTAACGGGCCGGAGTGACATTGCTGGCCTCTGGAAGTGTCTGGGATGAGGATGGTGTCGTTGAGGGGGCTGCTGGTGATTGCGCCCTCTTGGCCACCCTCCCACTCCAGTTCTCCGCCCCTGCATGCGCCCCCTGCAGCCCTTGGACCAGCCGTGCTTCCTGCGGCTGGAAGGGTCCCTCTGCGGAGCCTCTTTGCCATCCTGCTGCTGCTGGCAGCTCCTCCTGCACATCATCTCTGAGAGCATTTTCTTGCAGTCTTTCTTGCCGTTGCCTCCCTTCCTCCCTGCTGCCCTCCTTCACATCCCTGCTCGGTGGCCCACACAACAACAAAGAGAGGCTGGTTTCTGTTTTTCTGGCTCAGATCACAAAGGACCCTCCTCTCTCAGTGTCTACCTTTTCACTATCCTTTCACTTTTTTTCTTGACCTCTGGCTTTGGCTGATGCATCGCCGGCTCTTCCTCTCCTTGCAGCAGCAGCTTGCCTGCTCGGCTGTCTGCTTGTCACGCCCTCCTCTATTTATCTGATTTCTCTTTTTTCAATGATCTGAAAGTCAAATTTGCTTCTTACAGCTCTGATTATTGATCTATAATGAGCTGATAAAGGGGTTTTAGGCGCTGTCTAGCTGATTTTAAGCTATTTTTTCTCTGTTTAAGGCCAGCAAGTGCAGTGTACTCAGTTCAGACAACAAGCACTGACTGTGGCTCTGCCTCCTCCTCAGAGCCTGGATAAAGAGCTGGGAGAGTCCATTCAGAGGTTTAACAGAGGGAGGGGTGCAAGGTTAGAAGATTGTTCCACTTCCAAATAATAACATGATAATATGATAGATTGTTAACACAATATTACTTATAGTTATATATGCAACATATTCGAACATGTATGTTTGTCTGCATGTGTGTACGGTTGGGTTGTGTCGTTGTGATGAGCTTTAAGCTGCTCCCTGCAGCAGGATGGTTCACTCCGCTTCAGTTTTAGCAGCTGAAATCTGATCCACAGCTGCTGCTGTTACTGCCCGCCCCTCTGACAACAGCAACACTGTACAGCAACAACAAGCAGCAGCACAGGGGCACTCACTAAAATAACAGTCACAGAAGTTAGTTATTGTGTCATACACACACAAGTACCCAACCCAACTATGGACTTATAAGACAGTGGAAATGACTGTTGCAGTGGTGAGCACAATTACAAACAAAGAACGTTATGTTCTGGCTGCAAATTAACTGTCTCACAAAAAGCCTTCCCTTCCTTAAACACATAACAAGTGTTAAGTCAATATAATTTAGTCTTTTGTCCAGAATTGAATATCACAACAAAAAATGAATGCATTAATTATCGGGCTCTTGTATTCTCCCCAGACAATAACTTACTTTGTTGACTATGTGTCTTTAACTGTAATGCCCTTAAGAGTGTCACATTTTAGTAAAACATTTTAACTGTGTGTGGATCACATTCAAGTCCTCCTTAGCATGGATTGTAATCACTTTATGGTCCCTTGGATTTGCATCTAGCGCCATCATCAGGTCAAGCTTTTTATTTAATATGAGTATATTCCTGCAAAACGAATTACATTCCCATCAGCCTCGGCTGTAGACTACATGCAAATATTGCTAATGATCAACTGTCAGCATGCTAACTGGCTAACATGGTGCACATGGTAAACATTAAAGCCATTCAACCTGTTTAACTCCAAAAATGTTGTATAATGTGCTCATTGTGTGCATGTAGCATTTAGCTTAAGTACCGATGTGCCAAAGTACAGCTTTATAGAGCAGCTTTGCTGTAGTCTTGGTTTGAAATCAGTAGACAGGAAGAATGAATCGATAATTGAGGACATTATTTTGAAAAAAGCACAGGACCCCTTTATCAATATATAATAAGCAATAAAGCATAAACATTGTCTTCAATGTCACCTGACATAACAAATCATTTCCTCTTAGTAAGTCCATTACAACGCATTCTGCTTCCTGCAACAACAAATCTCTGCCGTTACAATTCAGTTTAGTTCCAAAATATGTAGGTCACTCTAACAAAGCATAGACCATAATGTGACATAACACACCTATATGATTGCAGCTGCACTAGCGACCCCGTATGGCTGTGATGTGTATTACATAGAACAGTTTGAAGTTTAATCAAGAACATTTGCTAACATGACTCCTGTTATTGTGTTAATAACACCATAATAATAACACACACAGTGTTATATATTATATAATTTAATTATTCTTTATTGTGCATTAATATGAAAGCAGTATTTTTGTTTGTTGAGGTGGAGCTTATTTTTTAACCATTTGAACAAATTCTTTTTTTTATTATTGATTAATCTGCTGAGTTAATTCTCAATTTTTTTTGTAAAATGTGTGAAATAAGAAGTGAAAACTCTTGACCCTATTGTTGATTTTTTGGTCATTTAAAAAATTTTTTTTTTAAGAAAGCCCTTATAGTCAACCACACGGCACACACTATTTATTAATAATCTATATCAATATGAAAGTATTTGGTCAAAAATAGTGTGTTATTTAATATACATGTATGTATTACATTAAGTTTGTTGGGTTATGTTTCTATACATTAATTAATTAATAGGATATGATGGATAAGCAGGGTGCTAGGTTGGCTGACATTATGAGGATACTACAGTAGGTGTAGGTTGTAAAGCATGGAGGATAAAATATAGGTTATGGTGTGTGTGTGTAAGTGTGTGGATATGTTCTTTCTCTTAACAGAGGGTGGTGGTAATGCGCCACTAAAATGTATGCGAACCTCTGTAAAACAAGAAGAAGACGAGAAAGAAGAAGAAAGCTGTCAGCTGCTTCAGCAACACAACAAACATGGCGTCAGGAGGCGGCTAACTGAGAAGAAAAGCTGGGTATCTTCCAGAGCCGTTTTAAATGAAAGTTGTATTTATTAATTAAAGATAACATTTGCTTCGTCGTGATCTCAAGATGGAGTCCGCTTCGTTTCCAGAGGATGTTTTGGAGAGGAAAGTGTGTGTTGTCGGGTCGGAGCCGGTGGAAAACTACACTGTAAGCTACACCCGGGCTTCCTCTAGCCTAGCGCCTCATAGCATGTCTAGTATGTAGCTAGCCTAAGCTTCAGATCAATTATCGTGACAGTGAGTTACTGTGGAAGAATATAAACTATCGGTGAATATGTACGGTGTTCAGTTACAATGCTTGTTTTCCATCAGTCAATATGTCATTTTCCTCCTGAGGCTTTACTCAATAGAACGACAGATCTGACAAGCTAAGTGCTAGCTGCCGTGCTAACTGAACTAGCTGTCAGTGTTGCAGCGGTTTTTAATGTTTCAGACAAGATACACAAGACATACAGGAATAAGAGTCTCGACGAATCAAGGCAAATGGACCTTGTCAAAAACAACAACATTGTTCTTTTAAAAACTGATTTCAAAGTATTTATAAATCATGCTCATCCGAAAGTGAAAATAAAAAGGCATATTAACCTAGTTTTGTTCAGGTGATTGGGAACAAGAGGTTATATATATATTTTTTTAAATATAGCCTACATATATATGTTTATATTCTGGTAACTTATCCAGTAAAGCTTTTGCGATCAATAATAACATCAAGGTTGTTCTTAAGTACAGTGAAGTCCATTGAACCATTTCATATATCATTGACAACAATGGCTTCTTTCTATTGTTGTTCACATGACCGCACATTACAGCCCTTAAAACTTGAATTATGTGGTGAAGTTGAAGGTCCACTATTGACCTGAAAGCAGTTGGTTGCATATACGAGGAGATGGTTCAATGGTGGTATGAGCATCCATGCTGTACAGGAAGCAGTTTTTTAATCCGGCAGGTTTTAATCACTGAACGTCATGCTGTGCCGTTTCAGGTCTATATCATCGAGGTGTCGGATGGAGAGCACAGATGGACTGTAAAGCATCGCTACAGTGACTTTCACGACCTCCACGAGAAGGTAAGAGACCGGAGCAGCCCAGATAAATCTCAATCAACTTGATACTTCCAAAAATCACTTTTTAAAAAAATCTAATTATAGAGAAAACATAAATAAATAGTAGAGAGGCACTATATGGGATGTAGGGTCTATAATTATTATATGTGTGTGTTACGATAAATATGAGGAGAGCAATAAAGACAGACTTTTTAGTATTTTCTGCCTATACAGCTTTTGCAAACATTTGTAATTACAAAAAGACTCCTTCTATATCTTTATCATTTGCTAACAAGCCTCAATACAACTGATATAAATCCATGTGCTCACCTGTGTGACATCATATTTATTGAATTGTTATAGTTGTAAGTAAGAAATCCCCACAGCTGATGTAAGGAATGGCTCTACATTATCAGAAGCATTTATTGCCTGAAAGTCCATTATCGGAACCGGGATTAATAATTTACACTTCTGATTGATAAGAGGATAGTATACCCGCCACAGACATAGTGCCATCACATTAATCATTAATAACCATAATGCATTTAGTCAATGCTGGAATGAAGGTTGACTTAATGTTGATCAATTAGCTATCTGCTGATCGTAATGTTCTAAAGTAAGAATGGGCCTTTCATTAAATTACTGAAGACACAAACCTACAATAGAACACAAAGAACGAGCTTCAAACAGGAAAAAAACATCAATATATCATATATGGATAATTCATTAATTATTTAAACATCAACAACAAAAACGTCTAAAATGTCCCAGAGTCGGAGGGAACATCTTAAAAGATATTTTGTTTACATTTATTTATAAAAAAGAGAGAAGCAGCCAATCCTCATATTAGAGAAGCTACAGTACACTTGGACAGCTTTTAGTGTTTTTTTCTCATCCTGATGGGTTTCCTGCAGCTGACGGCAGAGAAGAAGGTGGACCGACGGCTGCTTCCTCCAAAGAAGATGTTGGGGAAGAACTCAAAGAGTCTGGTGGAGCGGCGGCAGAAGGAGCTGGAGCTTTACCTGCAGACGCTGCTGCAGCAGTTCCCAAAGGCCACACCGTCTCCACTCGCCTGCTTCCTGCACTTTCACCTTTACGTGAGTACACTCGAGGCTCCTACCACATATGCACAGTAACCTGTTTAAGCCTAAACATGTTCCCAGTTCATTTCAAATCTATTGGATGGGTCTGAGGGCAAGTGATGTTCTCCCACTGAACTGAGAAAACGTTTATTTACGGACTCCTAACTATTGAAGCAACAGTATTCATTAAATACAACAATACACTTCTTGTCAATCTCCAAATCTATTTTCCATAATTGTACAGGATGTTATAAGGAAGATGGAGCATTCGAAAATGGCCAATCAGACTCCCATATATCCGTTTTTTCGCTAGTTGTGCCACAGGATTTTCCATCATAAAAGTAGTTGTTGAATTAAATAAATACACTTTTATATCTGCTATTGAATAAAGATTACTAAAGCTTTTGTGAATGGTGTCACCAAAAGAAAGAAAAATGAAAATGTGCCCAAAAAAATGCAACTGCTTGGCCTCCGTATAGCTATATTGGGGTTCTGTCCCTGTGGAGAGGACACGGGTTTGAATATCGCCCAGGACCATTTGCCACGTGTCATCCCATCTGTCTCCACCACATAACCAAAGGCACCGATGGTCCGAAACATTTCTTAAAAAATAAATAATTGCGTTACTCTGTTTTGTAAGTATAAGCAGAGCATGTTGCAGCATGGGCGTAGGAAGCATCCTCAATGTGGGTGGGACAATTTGACAGGGGGTGTGGGCAGGTGGTGGACCTCACCTCCTCTAGGGGGGTCCGGGAGGATGCACCCCCGGGAAGATTTTTTTTTAAATGTTGAAGTTAAAAGCATCAATCTGGTGCACTTTGAGAGCAACATGAGGGACTAAATCTATGGATACCTCTCTCAATACCCATATGAAACAGAACTGTAAACAGATTTACTTTTTCTTTATGCATATTTTACAAATCACTCTCCTTTTAACCTGTATTTTTGTGTTACTGTCCTATAGTATGAGTTGGAATGATTTAATACCTGTTATTCTTTTGTTTTTTATAACTATAATGATCATATAAAGGTGTGCCTTAGAAATACTTGTTTACATAAATGATTACCAAACCGTTTGAGACCCACTACTTAGACTAAAGTGAACCATCTAAACCAGGGGTGGGGAACCTTTTTCCTCTCAAGGGCCATTTCAATTTTTTCAACATCCTCCGAGGGCCTTACAATTTTTTGACCTCTGCTTAAAAATACTAAAATCAAAGCCCATTCATTTCGCCTTTCTTTCATGCTGTGCAAAGAAAAAGCAACCTCTTAATCCAGATATCTCACCATGACTCGCGCATGCATGCACGTGCACGGTGTGGCATGACCACCAAAACAGAAAGATATGGACACAAGATGTGTGCAAATGTATTTAGTTTCCCATCCATGTGAACATGATTTAAGTGGGGGGGACCTAACCTCCTCTAGGGGGGTCCGGGGGCATGCTCCCCCGGGAAGATTTTTTTTTTTAAATGTTGAAGTTTGAGAGCAACATTAAGAGATCTATGGATACATCTCTCAACACCCATATGAAACAGAACAGTCATATAGTATTTTATACCTGTTTACTTTATTCTCTTGTTTTTTTATAACTATAATGATCATATAAAGATGTGCTTCTACCTCACTGGTTGTAGAAAAAGCTGCTTATATTCGTTAGCATAGCTAGCTAACCAGATGCTAATAACAACAAAGTTATTGACTGTATGATCAGTATGACAGATGAACAGATCGCCACTGGGCTTACAACTAAAGACACAGCCACGCAAATACTGCGGCATGTGTACGGCTCCTTATGGGTACTTCAATTTGTGAAGTGCTGGAGCGGTGTTCTGGTGCTCTCCGTCAGCACTACACCCATGGATGTATAATAAGAACTACACCGCTGTCAGACGAGACGTATACCACGTGATGACACGTTAGGCTCGTGTTGTGTTCAATGACCCTGACCTTGGCCAGGAAATACAGGCACTCGCTTGTTTAATTATTTTGCGGTCTAGATTTCTTACATTTTTTCTTTTTTGCGTGTGTTTATAAATTACCTCGAGGGCCGTACCAAATGGTCTCGCGGTCCGTATACGGCCCGGAGGCCGGAGGTTCCCCACCCCTGATCTAAACACTCAGAGAGTCCTTTACCTCACTGAGCTGCAGTTATCAGCCTCTCAGTCTGACAGGAGAGGACTCTCCCTCCACCTCTTTAATAACAGCCTTTTATCCGGGTGCTAGTGGAGCACGCTCGTGAACTGTTAGCGCCGGAGCCTCGCAGCGGGGAAGCTGTGGCGCGCATCATTTTACAACTAAAGACACAGCTACACAACAAACGCAGCATGTGTGAGATGTGTACGGCTCTGAGAATCTGCCTTGGTACAAAGTAGCAGTGAAAACATGGGACGGCATTTCATTGATTTGGGCATTCTCTCAATAAGCAAGTGGAATGGATTTGTTAAAGAAGCACTGACACAGCACTCTACAAAGAGAGAGATTCACGGACTTTCCGAATAGTAAAAGTGGGGGGGTCTAAACTAATCATTTTAAAAAGGTGGGGGGGACTTGTCCCACCCTCATATAATGGCTGCGACGCCCATGTGTTGCAGTGTTTAGTAATTGAAAAATATACTGAAAGATTAATTAAGACTAGATTGTCTTGTCTGGCGGGTCTATTTTGCAAAACGCTGTGACACAACCTTAACTACACTTAAAGCAGTTAAATTGTTTAAACATTTAAATTGTCTCGGTTGTATCAAAAGTTGCTGATGGGCAGAAACTGTTAGGTGTGTCATAAGATAAAAGGTAGTGGGAGAACAGTAATTTGTCTGTAAATGGTGATCCTTTCCCTGTCCGAGAGGCGCTGCTGCAGGCTGGTGTAACAGTTCAAGTCTTTGTGGTGCCCGTGACCATTGATTATTTAACAGAGTGAAGGCTGATTTAAAAAACACTCATGTGATGCGAGATGATTAACTGGTGAGTGTCAGTTGGCAAACTTTATTGTTGTTTGAAAAGAATTGACAGCATGATGTTCATGTTCTGAAGCAATCATCAGGCCTTTCCTGTTTGATTTGTTAATCTTGAATAGATGAAGCAGTGTGTTTAACAAATTATAAGAATAGGCAACATCCAGCAACAATAGAACGTTGAAACTTCTGTACAGGGTTTCCCACACATAGACTTTACTTGGGCAGGCCGCCCAGGTATATTAACGGCCGCCCAAGTATATTTCGCGACCCATTTAGTTTTTTTTTTTTTTTTAATAATCTTTTTTTTTCATTTCGTCCGCGACCACGACGCCATCTGCGATCAATTAACTTGTGGACAATGGTCCCTCGCTCTACGCCTCCTGTACCCAGTCCCGGACTGGCCATCGGGAGGACCGGGGGGTTTCCCGATGGCCTGGCCTGTTAAGTGGCCTGCCTCACACAGGGTGACTGGCTGTCTACATGATGTGGCCTGCCGACATGGCCACTGTCACACAGATCATAAATCAAAGCCCTTGATTGGTCTCTGTGTGTCATTCAAGCTCGGGATAACCTCAGCTAAGGTAAAGGACTTAGCTGAGGTTATCAGGTGAGGTAAAGGACTCTCTGAGTGTTTAGATAGTTAACTTAGTCTAACTTCTCAGTGGGTCTCAAACGGTTTGGTCACCATTTATGTAAACACATATTTCCATTTGAGAGGGGAGTGATTAGTAAAATATGCATGAATTAAAAAGAAAAAGGTAAAAAGGTAAGATACACTTTTAAAACTTGTTGAGAGCTAAAACTAGTCTTTGCTGCTGCCTCAAAGAGGAGAGGAGGGAGAAGAGACAGGAGGGAGACAGGAGGGAGACAGGAGAGGCTGATTCAGGAGCACAGACACACTCACAACTATAAATGAACCAAAAATAAATAAATAAACAAGTTTCAGTGTTTTTTCATATTGGAAATGGTATGTTATTGGTTATGGCCATGATTTTATGATTATTGAAATGTATACAGTTCTGTTTCATATAGGTGTTCCCATAGATCTAGCCTCTTTATTTTCCCCTCAAAGTGCACCAGATTGATGCATTTAACTCAAAAAAAAAAAAAAAAATATTACCGGGGGAGCATGCCCTCGGACCCCCCTAGAGGATTTGAGGTCCACCCCCACTTAAAATCACATGGGCAGGTTCCTTAATACATTTACCATTTTTTAAAATAGTAACCCATGTCCATATGTTTATTTGTGGGTAGTAGATTTAAACTATAGGGCTATCACTACGGGCCCTGCCTGTACTGTTCGCTCTGCCATGGCGTGAAGGGTCTGCTAACAAGCGACCAACAGAAAGCTTCATGTTAATGTTGTTGCACGTCACAAAGGCACGTTACCTCAACCCCCACCCCCCGCTACCACCACCCCCCCAAGTATATTTCAGATCTGTGGGAAACACTGCTGTATGTCTAGCTAATGTTATCTGTTGAGTAGTGAAGAAATCAACCTTGTTTGTTGTTTTGAAGTGCATTCAGTTTTTCAACAATCTCTTTGTCTCTTTCAGGAGATCAACGGGATCACAGCAGCTCTGGCTGAGGAGTTGTTCAACAAAGGTTAGCTTCCTTTGACCTTTGCCCTCTATCTTCATCTAGTGTTTCTAAAACTGTGTTAACAATTAACTCCTATAGTGGAGAGTGTGCTTCCAGTTTATGTAGCTGCAAAAGCTTTCTCCCTGTCGTTAGTTCTATACTTCTTATCTTATCTTATGTAAGATGAAAATACTTACAATGACATTACAAATTTGCTAGCACAAGAGATCACCTGCAGTCTGTGTTTATGCGACTAAATATAACATGAAACAACAGATATAATCCTGTACATCGCGCAGTATCAGACCCCTTGTTTGTTGTGTTGTAGGGGAGCAGTTGTTGCAGGCCGGCGAGGTCTTTTCTCTCTTTCCTCTGCAGCTTTACTCCGTCTCCCAGCAGCTACGTCTGGCAAAACCAACCTGCTGCAGCGGAGACGCCAAGACCGACCTGGGACACATCCTGGACTTCACCTGCAGGCTGCGATACCTCAAGGTCTCACACCTCTTTAGACAACTCAAATCCTGTCGTACCGAGTAACTTTGTATCCTAACTTTTCCTTCAGGAGGAGACGGGATGAGTGTTCTCACTGGTTTTTCTCTGCTGGTCAGGTGTCTGGTACCAGAGGTCCAGTAGGATCCAGTAACATCCAGGAGAGCAGTCTCCCCTTCGACCTGTCTGTCTTCAAGTCACTGCTGCAGATAGAGGTACTGACTCTGTCTGTCTGTCTGTCTGTCTGTCTGTCTGTCTGTCTGTCTGTCTGTCTGTCTGTCTGTGATCAAATACTGCTTAATCAACACATATACACACAAACCTCATGTTTGATGAGGGAATAAATAACACCAGGTTAACAAACATTTCACCCAATTAAATAAGAACAACATTGAATGTTTTAGTTAAGAACTAGTACAGAAAATATTGTTATAAAATTAAACTCAAAGTAACATGTTTAAACGCCCCAAATTTCATGGGCTTTGACCCATTCTGGAATAATGTATATTCTTTACTAGATTATAATTCTCAATGGATTAATGTGATCAATTAAAGGGGCACTATTATGCTTTTTTAGGTTTTCCCTTCCCTGTAGTGTTATAGAGGTTTCTGTGCATGTAAATGGTCTGCAAAGGCTAAAATCTCAAAGTTCCCTCCCACAGCTCTAGTCTACGGTTTAGTCATCTTAAATATGTACAGTAATAACATCATCATTTCGTTTTTGATTGTATTCAAAATGATAAATATGAATCTGCAAAGTAAGTCATTAAATAAATGCAGTGGAGTAAAAAGTAGAATCTTGCCCTCAGAAATGTAGAAAATAAAACATTTTCAGTTTCCAAAAATGGAAATACACAATTTCATTTATTTACAAATTCACCTTACATTTTTCAAACTGTCCGTCTTCAGATCAGTGAGTGCAGCTCGCAGCAGATCCGAGGTCTTTCATCTCTGAGGTCCAGTCTGGCAACTCTGAGTATCCACCACTCCATGGAAACTATGACGGTAAGGTCTACATTAAATACTTCTCTAGTGTTTATGCAGATTATTGTAGATCGTTACCTGATGGTAATGTTATTTCTGTCTCCCTCTAGTCAATCCTGGTCCCGGAGTCGAGCGAGTTCTCTCAGTGGGAGGCTGAGGGGGCGGAGTCGGGCTGTCCCGTCACCGCGGTAATCCCGGTGTGGAGAAATCTGACTACGCTGGACATGAGCCACAACGGCATCAGCACCATCGACAGCTCTGTGGTGAGACACCATGGACATCCTGAAAAAGTTGTCTGAAGTGAAAATATATTGAGCTGGATATCATTTTTTAGCATTTGCTTTTGAATAAAACAGTGGATACAAATATGTTATATCAGCAGGTCATGCCCTTAATATCTTAACAAAGGGCTAAAGAAAGCATGGGTAAGTGATTAAAGAAATGTTAAGGTACATCAGGTTCTGTAGGTTGACTCTGAGTGTTTCTCTGTTGCAGAAACTGATTCCTAAGGTGGAGTTTCTGGATCTAAGTCACAACAAGCTGTCCACAGTGGAGAACCTCCAGGTAAGTGGACAGTTTCCCTTTTATGTCAGTATCATTTATAGGGTTGCAGCTACCTACTATTTAGAGTTTATAGACATAGATCATTATTATTTTAGATAAAGCAATTACTTGATTATCTTGTAAAATATCAGTAAATCATTTAAAGAGCCCAACAATAATTAAGTCTGAACATCAGTCCAAAGATAGTTTCATAGATAACATTTTCAGCTTATTATTGTTTATACTTCTGTTATATGTTTTAGTAAAACAAAATACATTTCTACATATTTTAATTGTTTATGTTTTATTTCTACTCTCGAATGTAGGATTGATAAAGTATTTTGGATTCTGATTTTGCAAATATTTTCCTATACATTTTCTGATTTGCATCTGGTCCTGACAGCTGCAGTTAGACACCCCTACAGATGTTTAGTTTGTCATGAATCAATAGCTGTGAAGTAACCTTTCTGTGTTTGCAGCACCTCTACAATCTGGTCCATGTGGATCTGTCCTACAACTGCCTGCAAGTCCTGGAAGCTGCTCACACCCGTCTAGGAAACATCAAAACTCTGAGTCTGGCCGGCAACCAGCTGCAGCAGCTAAGCGGCCTCACCAAGCTCTACTCACTGGTCAACCTGGACCTCAGCCACAACCAGCTGGACCAGGTAAGAACACCGGGACGTCCTGAGATCAGGAGTGAGAGTAACATAAAAACTGACAGGAAGTCTTTCTTTTTATATTTTATTGTGAGAGTGCAAAAGATGCATTTGCGGCCCGAATAGAAACATTACCAATGGCTTAGAGCACTTGGTAGAGCTGGCGACCGATATATTAGGGCTCCCCATGCTGATAACCCGGCTGTGAATCCGCCATGGGACCGATCTTCTGCGTGTCACCCCCTCTGTCTCCCCCTTTATAAAATTGTCACTACAATGCACTGGTGGCCTGACATTTTTTTTTCCAAAAAAATTAAAACATTACCACCTACAAAATGTATTAAATATGCTACTATCAGAGAAGAAGTAAAAAATAAACACTAAATTACCAGCTTGTAAATCAAATATCTATTAAGACATATTTATGTAGTTCAACCAACATTTTTGCTTCGTCTGGTTCCCTTAACAAAAAGCCAATGGGATTTGGGTTGTTTGTGACTTGTGTGTGTTTCATTCCAGCTGGAGGAGATCAGGAACATCGGCTCTCTGCCCTGTCTGGAGAAACTCAACCTGTCCAGTAACCCCATGTGCATCATCCCGGACTACAGGACCAAGGTGCTGGCCCAGTTTGGAGACCGGGCATCAGAGGTACACCACTGAAACCCCACACTATATATATATATATATATATATATATATATACATTCAACAACATCACTTAAAATACATTAAAAGTTAGGGAAAAGAAGGTGGATGAACACGAGATTATAGCAGGCTTAACAAAGCTAAACACAAAACTGGCAATGAATAAAACATAAGTAAGTATATGACAGTGTTAGATTGTTCCATATATATATATATATATATATATATATATATATATATTTACCTCTTTACTACTGCTTCTACTGCAGCCAATAGCACCAAATGTTTTGTATTGCCGTACTGTTACTACTGCACAGGTAAAATAAATATTTGTATTAATCCACGCAATAGTAAGAAACGACTCTCTCTACAAGTACCACCACTCCTACCAATATACTATATTATACTATATAAACTGCTTATACATCTACTGTGACACACCCAAGCACACACAACCCTCAAAGACTGCAACCACAAATGAATATAAAGATGAATTGATTTAAAAAAAAAAAAAAAGAAGCTATTTATTAAACCCTTAATAAAACCTGTACATTTTCAGGACTGTCACACGTGTTTTCTTCTCTCTGCGTCTTCAGGTTTGTCTGGACGGTAAGGTGACGACAGAGAAGGAGCTGGACACAGTGGAAGTGTTGAAAGCAATTCAGAAAGCCAAAGAAGTCAAAGACAGGATGAGCAGCGGTGACAAGAAGGTACGTTCATTAGACTTCAGGCAGCAACAAACCAGTTTATATTATTTAAATTGTCGGTATTTTTGTCAGATATAATGACAGTTACTACCTAAAAGATGAGTTTATAAGAGCTCAAATAATTAATGATACATTTACATATTAAAGGTAGGGTAGGTAAGTTTGAGAAACCGGCTCGAGATACACTTTTTGTTATATTCCATGGAATGCTCTTAACATCCCGATAGCAATGAATATCTTAAGTGCTTTGACAAAAAATCCATAAAAAAATGTCATCTGTGGAAGCTGTAGTACTGTAAAAAGCACGACCAATCATTTTAGCCGGCCCGGCTAAAATAACTGGATGGCCTACCTGCCTGTCAGCCTTCCATCTGTGCACAAACTTATCTCGTGCCCTCATTGGTCATGTGCGCGTTCGTGTGTGTTGGAGGAGGGGCTCTGTAAGGAAGTGGCAGATTTTCTCCCGTTGTGTATTTTCAAATTCTAGCGATCTCGAGCCGGTTTCTCAAACTTACCTACCCTACCTTTAAGTGTCAATAAGTAGTTTATTAATCTCTTTTAGGGATGTTTTTTTTTTTCTGTAAGAGGTTTTTACTCATTGTTTTTCAGGTTTTGGGGGATTTTTAACATTATCAGTATTTTCTGTTTTGCAATGATTTTACTCAACAAGAATCTTGAACCCAAACCTGTGTTAAATGTAATAATGTTCATATCTTCCATATGAATTAACCCTGAAACCCTCTGTAGTGTTTTTATAATTCTAACCTGATTATAGGCCATTAAGAGATCCCCTCATATAGATGTGATAACGATAGTCAATTACTAACCGATCTCTTCAGCCTGAACATGACACATACACGACACATACAGCAAGTCAAAGACGCCTAAAACAGTCATTATGACGTCTGGGTGGTTGTAATCCTACTTGAAAAACGCAAATGCACCGAGCTAAAACTGATTGTGTTGAAAAATAACCTACAAAAAAGTGTCGTTTTAGTTTTTTCCGGAAATGTGTAGAACATATACTGTGAACCATCCCTTTTTTTTTTCTTCAATGAGAGCGTTGGAAATATTTTGTATTGTATTTCTTATTCAGGAAAGTGGAGATATTTAAAGTGCATTTGGGTCCAGATATCAAGCAGAAAAGCAGGATATTGAATGCAACTTGTTCACATATTCTACATGATTCAATGAAAACTGTAAAACCCAGTCACAAGTTGGAACACGATTTTTAAAGTTGAATGGCACAGTTTTAACTCTTGAACTCACACAACCAGATACATAAACAGTATTATTACAACTGAACTGGACTAGCACTGGTCAAGTTGTTTTCATTTAAAGATACCAGTGCTGTGTCTGTATTAAAAACTAAAATATCAGTCTTCAACCCCGGTGTGACTGTTCCTCTGCTGCTGATGGAGCTGCTGGGTGAAGGTGTTAGGATGTTCCTCTGCTCGATGATGTCGCTGCTCTCTGAAGCTTCCTCTTCTCTGTCCTCTCGTCAGATCAGTGAGGAGACCAGGCTGTCTGCTGCTGCACCTCCTCACCTCTCCTCCTCCTCCTCTCCCCCCTCCTCTTCCTCCTGCTGCTCCTCTGCTGTCGCTCCTCCCACTGTTACCTCTTCCTCTTCCTCCTCCTCTTTCTCTTCCTGTCCGGCCCAGCAGGCCTCTTGCCCCAGCCAAGGTAATCATGTATGTATCAGGTGATTTTTTATCATTTGATTTAAGGCAACAGCCAGACAGATGAGTATGTTTCTCTGCTCTTTGTCAGCTGCTTTCCCCAAAACAGCAGCTGATGGTGCTTGCTGCGGCTGCAAATAGTGATTATTTTCATTATCAATTCAACATATTTTTAGCTAATGTAGCTAACCTGCTGCTGTTGCTTAGTCTTGTTTTAAACCAGATATCCCCAGTGTTTTATTTCCTGTAGAATACGCTTTGCTTTTCTCCTCAAACTGAACTTATAACTTGTACAGCTCTGGAAAAAGAGACCAATCTCAATCTCTACATGTTTGGCAGACATTCCATTCCAGTGTCTGTTGAATTCCAACACAGAGAAATGTTGTCAGTTTAAAGAATCAAATAAAAAAAGGTTCATTTTACTCAAACACATATCTATAAATAGTGAAACTGATAATGCTGCAGTGGTCTTTTAACTTTTTCCAGAGCTGTATATACAGTAAATGGTGACCTGTTGCTTTAGCTGTTCATAACTTTAAGCCCCTACTGACTTAAATCTTTACTAAGATGACATTTGTCCATCGCACAGGTTGCAACAGCCTCATTAACTCATAGCTCTAATTAAATTGACCAAACCAACCAATAATACAAAAAAATCTGCCCATCTCAGATGTTTTACTTATAGGAGAATCAGGGTTTTGTAGGCAAGAATAAGAATCGTTCATCTACAGGTGCCAGACTAGAAACCTGGCGTCCACAAAAATGTCTTCAAGAGTGAATAGGTGGTTTGCAGCTATTAAAGTTATTTAAGTTGAGTTTAACACAACTCTTCAAACAACATGTTTATTTCAACATTACAGATAAATCAGTGTCTGGTGACTGAAGATTAATAGCACCATCACCATGTCATCTTAAAATAAACATTTAGTCTTATTATTAGACTACAGGAATGACTGATCACGTGTACCTCTGCGCAGTTAGTGGAATACCAACAGTAGATGGTGGTCAGAAAGGCCCTGTTTTTAGGAGGCATGGAAGCTAAGCAATGTTCTGCTTGAATAAGGCAGCAGCAAAATGTATTTTATCCACCTAAAAAAAAAATCATTATCAGTCGAGCTGTATGTTATATTTAAAATATTTGTAGTGCTTTACCTTGCCAGCAGACAGCACTTTCGGGAAAACCCCCCAATAATTTTACCTTGCAGAACAAGGTAGTTGCTGGTCTGCTGCTGCCATGTTTGGTAACAAACCCTTCAAACCACAAAAGTTGTACTAGGTTTGAGATAAATCTGACAAGTTTATTTCTGAACAATTAATTTAATTAAAACCGAGTGGTGGCTGTTCCAACAGCTGATGGAGCACAAAGGGGAAAAACTAACCAGCGACTGATGGTCACAATTTTTTTTTCTGAAGGTTGTTGGACACCGTAATAATCCTGACTAACATCTGTCTGTGTCGCTTAGCATAGGCTGCACACTGTGTGAATGTCCCAATCGAAATAATAAGAACTAAGTGCACGTTGGATTTGTCTATTTTTTAACATTGTCTCTGATTCACACTTTGCATGATGAGATATAAATGGTTATAACATTTGAAAACATTATTTCTGTCAGAACTGAGTATGTATGAATATGTTTAACTGAAGCTAGACGTTATTTAATATTTTATTTTGACTGTTTCATAGTTTTGCAACGATTTATCGTTGTCATAATCTATTATTGTGCTGATGATTATCTCTTATTCTTGTTTACACTTTTAGGGTTCTGACGTGTAAAAAATACCCATCATTTCTCAGACCCCATGTTTAGTAACTAATGTTAAGACAAGAAACATCATATCATATTTATATTTAAGTAGCTTCAGCCATCAAATTAGTGCAACATGTTTTGAACACAATTCAATATGTTTTGGTAAGAACTTGTCAAATTATTCTGCACGAAAATATAAAATCTCAAGCTGTAAATGAACCCAGAAGGACATCAGTAAACCTGCAGAGCTTGCTCCTCGCCTCACTGCAACCCTAATTAATTTGGTTTCCTGTTTCAGAAGTGACAAGCAGAGAAGACTCCGTTCCCCCCAGCACTCTCCCGCCTGTGGACGCTGCACCCCCCCCACCAAGCTTTAACACCAACACAAACCTCCTGTCTGCTGACTCCACCCAGGTGAGGGCAGCATAAAACAACCATTATATTATCATCACATGTTGCTCTAGTTTCTGCTGGGAAGAAAAAAAATGATTCACTTTAGACTGTCTCTAAATAATAAAATACAATATTGCTTGCACTCAAGTTCCGCGACGACCTAATTACAGACAATTAGCGTTTGCTGAATCTGATATCTGTGGCTGATTATTTGAGTCTGTTTTGACAGACAAACTAACAAATGTTAGGTTCTAATTTCTAAACAAATGATCACGACAGCAATACATCCTTCAGTTTTCTCTCAATATCTTGATGGATCAAGCAAGGCAAAAAGACTATTCAATTATCAAGACTATTTTTGGGACATTTTTGCATTAGTTTGTCAGAGGACTGTTTACAAATGATTTAATATTTTCAGGATATCATTTAGACAGATGGCATTGTGACTGTTCTGAGATCTGTAAAATATGTTATATAAAGGAAGAATAATGTGAGAACAAACTAAACGTATAATTTAGATTTGAAGTGTAATAGTTTATCATTGAACAATATGTCTTGACCGACTGGAAAACTGGGTGGGACTTTCGGAAACAGTTCTAAATTGGTTTGAATCCTACTTAAAGGACAGAAACAACTTTGTTTCTATCGGTAAATACACATCTGAGTTGACAAATATGACATGTGGGGTACCTCAAGGCTCCATCTTGGGGCCTCTTCTCTTTAACGTCTACATGCTACCACTGGCTCAGATAATGAAGAACAACAAAATAAGTTACCATAGCTATGCGGATGACACACAAATTTACGTAACAATTTCACGTGGAGACTATGCTCCAATTCAAACACTGAGTAAGTGCATTGAACAAATCAATGACTGGATGTGTCAGAACTTTCTCCAATTAAACAAAGATAAAACTGAGGTAATGGTTTTTGGAGCCAAGGCAGAACGTATAAAAGTTAGCGCTGAGCTTCAGTCTGCAATGTTCAAAACAACAGATAAAGCCAGAAATCTAGGTGTAGTCATGGACTCTGACCTGAGTTTCAACAGTCACATTAAAACAGTTACTAAATCAGCCTACTATCACCTAAAGAACATATCTAGGATTAACAGACTAATGTCACAGCAGGATTTGGAAAAACTTGTCCATGCTTTTATCTTCAGTAGACTCGACTACTGTAATGGTGTCTTTACAGGTCTCACTAAAAAATCTATTAGAAAGCTGCAGCTAATTCAGAACGCCGCTGCTCGAGTCCTCACTAACACTAAGAAAGTGGATCACATCACTCCTGTTCTGAAGTCCTTACACTGGCTTCCTGTGTGTCAAAGAATAGATTTCAAAATACTGCTGCTGGTTTATAAAGCTTTGAATGGTTTAGGCCCAAAATACATTTCTGACCTCCTGCTAAATTATGAACCATCCAAGGCAAGTTTATTTGCCTTGGATGAACTCGCTGACCAGTCCCTGATGAACTCTCAGGTCGTCAGGGACTGGTCAGCTTTCTGTCCCCAGAGTCAGAACTAAACATGGTAAAGCAGCATTCAGTTATTATGCTCCAAATATCTGGAACAAACTCCCAGAAACCTGCCGGTCCGCTGCAACTCTTACTACTTTTAAATCCAGGCTGAAGACTTTTCTTTTTGCCGCTGCTTTTAATTGAACTATTCATATCTTAAACTGCACTGTAACTTTTATCCATGTATTTTTTCTTTTAATGTTTATTTTATTATCTTTTCTTTTTAATGACTGATTTTAAATGCCATTTTCTTAATGTCTTTCATTTTTTGTAAAGCACTTTGAATTGCCTTGTGTTGAAAGGTGCTATATAAATAAACTTGCCTTGCCTTGATAAAAAAAAAAAAAACATTTTGGCAAATGTTTTGATATTTCTATTTTGTCTCAGCTGCACTCTAATGTTGTTTTTTTGTCTGCAGGTACACCAACCTGCTGTCAGTCTGTCTGAACACACACTCTGTGGAGCTCCCACAAGCATAACTACTACCACTACTACTAATACTACTACTACTACAAATTCTACAAAGGCTGTCTGGTCAGTATCAAATAACATTATTTACCACAACAACTCTAAATACAATTTCTGGCACGTTTACTTAAAGGTTATTGTATTTCTCTTAATCTACTGCTGGTGAAAATCTACTAGGACTACTTTTGTAGAGTTTGCAAATTAAAAAGGTAGCATGCTAATGTTAAATGGCTAGCTGGAACTTGGATCAATGCTGTTTGGATCTGGTGTTGCTTGCTTGGTGATGTTAAAGGAAAGGGTATTATGCTTTTTCAATGTTTTCCTTTCTTGTAGTGTGTTATGTTTGCTATAATCCCTGTGTTCCTCCCTTTCTCTCCCACACACTCCCCCAACCATTGGATTCCTTTGTTCTCCTTCCGTCACATAATGACACAACTATGTGACACTCGCACTTCTATTGGCCAGTGCTCCAACACATTGAAGGACATATCTAAGCCGTTGACCTATCACAACACAGCCGACCAGCTAACCAATCAGAGCAGACTGGGCTCTGGTTTCAGACAGAGGGTGAAAAGATGTGCTGTAGCACAGGCTGTATGAGAACAAACCCCACAGTAGAGACACATGAACCTGAAAATGAGCACAGTAGGGCCCCTTAACCAATAAAGGCATTCACAAATGGATGTTTTATCATGGAACCAATGGTCTTAATAATAGAGGAGCATTCTAAATGTTAATTAAAAATGTAACGTCCACAGGTGTAATTTATACCAAGGATATTAAATAGTAGCAGGGGTGTTTATGAAATGAAAATGAGCGGATAGGGAAATTGAAGCAATAAAGTCTGGTAGTCATTTCTGAACAGTTGTTTCTGTCATGAAAATGTAAAAAGAAAGATCTCCATCCTGTTTCTCCTCCAGTTGCGCCTGCTGCTCTTCCCCCTCCTCCAGACCAGCTGAGACCCCTTGCTTCTCCTGCAGCGCAGCCTGCTGTCCTCTACTTCCTTCTCTGCTGCTCTCCCTCTCCTCCTCCAACAAAGACTTCATTACCCAGCTCTCCCATCGGCTAAGCTCCATTCTGAAGGAGCAGAAAAGGGAGAAGGTGGAGGAGGAAGAGACGGAGGAGGAGGAGAGAGAGGAAGACAAGAGAGAGGAAGACAAGAGAGAGGAAGACAAGAGAGAGGAAGACAAGAGAGAGGAAGACAAGAGGTCTAAATCCAGAGAGCTTCAGTCCCATGTGGAGTGCACTGAGGAGGGAAGTCTCAGGTAATTTAACCACCGACCTTCTCTCACTGGTTTCTGAGATCCCCTAAAAAACGAATCTCCTCAGATGTTCCCATTAGTTTTTGAGATCCCCTCAAATTCAAATAACTTTAATAATTGATTCATATTTCATTCTCATCATTACAGTCCAGGCTCCAGGGACGGATACTTCGAGATGGGCCTGGATGACTCTTTAGAGGAGCCCGTCAGCTCCTCTTCCTCCACGTCGCTCGCTGTTCCTTCTGCAGAGGAGCCTGGTAGCCAGCAGGAGGAGCTGTGTGAAGAGGAGGAGAAGGAGAAGAAGGAGAAGAAGGAGAAGAAGAAGAAGAAGAAGGAAAAGGAGAAGGAGGTGCAGGTCAGCAGGGTCCTGTGGTGCTACTGTCTTCAGCTGAAGGAGGAAGTGGAGCAAAAGAAGGCTTGCCTGGTGCTGACAGACCAAATATTGTGCCTGATGTACCTGTCAGATGATTTCACACGGTCCAATCAGGACGCAGGTAAACACACAATCAGGTTTAGTTTTTCATATTAGTTTACTTTGCTGCTTGTTGTCAAGTTAACTAATCGTGCTTCATGAGAATTGCCTTGGTTCATGGGAAAGGCATTTGAATATGTTCTGGTACCTACAGTCATGCACATCTTGTCCAAAATGTGAGACTTTACCAAGTCCTAATGCAGAACTGTTTACTATTAACAGAAACAGAGCTAAACTTAAAAAAATCCATGTAGCTTTCCTTTTAAAAATAACGTATAAACAGCAACAATGATTTATTAAAAAAATATTGACAGGGATCACCGTGCTAACAAACAAAACAGTAACTGCCTTTTTTTTCACTGTGTGTTAAAAGCATACATGTCATCCAAAATCAATTACATGATGTGTGCTTGTTGTGTTGATTTGCTGTGTGTTTGAATATTAAGAGCAATCTGTTCTCCTGTTCTCAGACCAGGAGCAGAGTGTGGAGGAGGTGCTGTCCAGCCTGCAGGTGGACCTCCTGCTGCCGTACTCACAGCTCCTCCTCTCCTCCCAAGCCGAGCTCCCTGACTCCTGCCTCGCATTCGGCCTCAAAGCTGCTCCGACCCGCTGGTTCCTCTTCTCAGAGCCAGAGGCGCTCCGGCAGACCAGGAGCGAGCTGAAGGTGTTGATCCAGGTCAGCATTGAGAGTTCCTACATTTTACAGCTCAGATAGTCCAATTTTGTTTCCCTTTTTTAAAAATGTTTTAAAGTTTTTATTACATTAGTAGGTATTGCGATCATTTTAGGTGTTCTTTAAATATTACAACTTTCTCACAGGAGAGAGCATCGCAGTTCACTACGTTGCTGCACCAAAAGTGAAACTTGATTTGCAGACAGTACATCTTATCACGACGAGTAAAGACATCAAATGGTTCTGGTTGGACTAAAGTCTAGAAATCTGGTATGGACATACTTCGGTCTAGTTGTCTAACGGTAGAACTTTAAAAAAGAAAAATCCCAATTCTATGTAAACTCAGTGTCAAGATGTTTTGAAAGTGAGTAAAAAAGGTTACATTGGGATATGATTTAACAATATGAATGAACACAATGCCGTATTACCTTGTACTGTTTCTGATTTTATGTAATGCGTCTTTGAGCACCAGGAAAAGCGCTATAAAAATTAAATGTAGTATTATTATTTGTATTATGCATTTGGGGTTTGCCTATCCCGGTAGTGTGTTATACAGGTTTTTGTGCATGTACTGTAAATGGTCTCCAAATAGATTGTTGGGGGGTTTCTCTCCCACACTCTCACCATAGGTCACCAGTATGATATGTGAAGCATATACATGTCAATACCAAAATAAAAAAAACGTATTTTCCTCCTTTTTTCAAGGCCGTAAAGTCTCAGCCTGACCCCGAGCCCCCCCTCCCTCCTCAGCTCCTCCACCGCTCGCTCATCAACTCCTGGGAGCTGGAGGAGAGTCAGGGGGCCCAGGGAGGCTATGCTGCCTTTCTCCTTCCTTCCTCCTCCACCTCCTTCTCGGCCCCGGACACCCACCCGCTCCTGTCAGACATCTTCTCCAGCAGAGAGGACCCCAGCCTCCCTTCCCTCCTCTTTCTCACCCACAGACACCTCTGGGTGCTGAAGATTGATTTCAGAGAGCTGGCAGAGAGTGAGAGAAGGAGCGCTGGCCTTCATCACTCCTCCTCCTCCTCCTCCTCCTCCTGGTGCAGGCTGGTCCGTGTGCCCATCGGCTCCATGGTGCTCCACCCTGGAGAAAGGGCTTCAAAGGTCGAGGAAAGAAGCAGCAACACCTCCTGCCCCGACCCCAAACACCACCACAGGTACAGAGGCTGTGGCTGGATCAATGGATTTTGTAGCTTTTCTTTTGTGTATATATGCCAGATTTTTACTGACAATTTATTTTTTATAAAGTATAATTTGAAAGCACTCGTGTGTCTGCACAACATTTAACAGGACAAAAAAAAAAAAAAACCACATGAAGTGTGTTAAACAGGGTTTCAGCTAGATAAGTTATTTGTGTTATTATATTTAGTTTAAAATGGTAATATTTACACATTTTTATTTTTTAACTTTTCCAAAAGTCTTAATCACAAAATTATATAACTTCCAAAATGCCCCACATCTCAACAGAATATTCTTCTTTAGTCCATATTTGTTGGTATTTAGCCTTTCAATAATGTTTTCAATGCAGTAAAAAAAACATAACATGATAAGTTGTATTCATTAAAGAAAATTGAAATAATTGGGTAAAACATACTTAACAGTGAATGTTTGGGGGGACACAAATGTAATGTCTAGATAGCTGAATGTCTTTGTAAAACAGAAAAGCTACTTAATTATTTTGTTTCCTCACGCTTAACTTTGGTCATCATCTGTATTTTAACTCTTATGTTGAGCGCAGGAGGAGTCACTCTGTGGAGCTGCTGCTGTGCGGTCAGAGGCTGCTGCTGCTCTTCCCTCTGGCCCAGAACAGGAGCTCCTTCCTGGGGGAGTTTAGGCAAAGGAGAGCTGCTCTGGAGGGGCTGAAGATGGTCGCCCTGCCTCTGCCCTGTCCACAGGACGGGCCGCACACACAAGGTTAAGACTGAATACCATGGTTTTATTTAGTTTGCCTCTTACTGGTGTATTCTCTCCGTTTGTTGACACATTGTTGTGTTCTCAGGCCGTCACGGATCCAGAGACCAGTGCTGTTGTTCCAGCAAGAGGAAATCACACAGCACCAACAGGTAAACTTCTGAAGCAGTGTAACATAACATACTATCTGTCCATGTAAATCTTCTTCCACTTGATGCTGCATTGAAAGCTGCATGCTAATATCACAAGTTTGCTGTTATTAAAGCCTCTAATGCTGTAAGTATAACGCACTAATTTGATCGGAGCACTGATTTATCAGACATTATTTATCTAAAACAAACCATGATACAGAATCAATCCTGTTTGCCACAATGAAGCTGTCATTTCATCACCTCATCACAAGAGTAAGATACATTGGCATTGTTGATTTTATCACATATATTCCCCAATCAACTTTGTGTTGGGTGATGATTAGTTATCAGAAACATCAGAGATATGAATATATATATATTTATAATATTCACAAAGTTTGTCCACCAAAAAGCACACATTAAAATGTCCTCAATTAGGACATATTTTGGTAACAAGTATTTAAAAACTTCTTATCAAAATGTTTGTGAAGTCATTTGTAAATGTTAAAATACAGATATAATCATTTTTAAACAGATTTTGTAAAGGAAATCTTTTGTTTTTTGTTGTTCCTTGTTTGGAGCCGTGTACATCTTTTTCTGAAAGCTAAATAGACTGTGCAGCACATACCCTCTGACTTCTTTAAGATTCATTTCTGATTAACAGAGATATCATGAGAGGTTAAGGTTGTATTTATATTTGTTCTACTTCTCTGACCTCCTTCTTCTCCTCAGCTGGGACTCCTCCCGTCTCCAGGTGGAGGAGAACCAGCCGTCCCCCCACCTCACTCCAAGTCTCTCCCCAGGACTGAAGCTCCTTGCTGGGCTCGGAGGGGAGCAGCTGCTGACCCACTTTCACAGATATATAGCAGAGGTAACATACACATAAAGTGTATTTTTGGTACTCTTATGAATAAAAACGTGAAGAATTTAAACATTTTGTAAATTGAATTTACATTGTTTCTAGAATGTCAGGAATATGCAAAAAGTTTCGATCACGAGTTTATGAAGCCTAAAAAAACATTGTAACGGGTCAGTCAGTGCAAAAACAGCTATATTATCATATAGACAGGAAAAAAACTTTTGCTAAATGACTAATTAATTGTCAAAAGTGGTGCGGATTTTTTTTCTTTCAACATTCTTATTGTTCTAACTTTACTTTTTGGTTAGCCAAGGCAGAGCAAACCCCTGGCACAAATCACATTTAGAGTTCTGAGTCGACCCCAAGTCTCTTCTTCTTGGAGGATCTTTGAACTGCGATAAAGCCTTTTTTTCCCTTTCCTTGTTGTTCATGTTTAGAAAGGGACACACTTTATCTTTGTTTTGTTTTTGAGTCTGCTTTTTAAAATGTTTTGTGTCAGTCTGAGTCGGAGGAGGTGAGACAGGTGTTGTGGCTGTCTGTGGTTCTCTACAAGTCTCCAGAGTCTGAGCTCACCTGCTGTCTGCTTCTATCCAACGACACCATCTACTTCCTGTTGGAGGACTCCGCCGCCACACTCGTTCATCACTCTGGTAGGATATACAGACATGTTGGTTTAGTCAGTCAGAAAAAAACTACATTTAAAATCACATGTGAGTCACTGCTGTTTTAAAGAGGCCCTATTGTGCTTTTTGGGGGTTTCCCTTTCCTGTAGTGTGTTTATGTTTTTGTGCATGTAAATGGTCTGCAAAAGCTTAAATCCCAAAGTTCCTTCCAGAGGGAGAAAAAATAAAGACCTTTTTGAACATTAATGCATGGAAACATGTCACAGTAGAGTCACTAAATACTAATATGAACCTGAACATTTGGTTTTTCTCACTCATACTTAAAGGGTTATCTCTGATTGAGAAAAACCTTTAAAATGACATGCGAGTCATTTCTGTTTTAATATTACTGCTCCTGCATCTATTTCAACATTCCTAATCATATTCAGATTGTTTTTAGCATTTTTCCCCCATGGAACCCGTGAAGAGTGATGAAAAACTAACAAATAACAAAGAAACCATAACATGGTACACATCTGCAAATGTGCAGTGTCTGTGTAGACTTTCAGCTTTGTTAAATCAGTTCTCTATCTTCTCTTCCTCTTTCTGTCTGTCAGTGTTGGACGTTATGGACTCTGGAGATCCGGACTTGTGCCTGTGCTGCTGTCTGTCCATCAGACTCTCTGATCTGCTGTCTGTCAATGTGGGACTGTTCGACCAGTACTTCCGAGTCGTAGGTCAGTGGAAGTTCCCACTCCTTGTCCCTGTTTGCAGAGCTCATATACATGTATAACAAACTACCTCTTAAAGCTGATATAACTCTGTCACACTCTCACTTTCCCGATCTTCCAATATGTCTCTCCCCTTCCTCTCTCTGTGTTCGCAGGCCGCTCAGCCGATCACATCGTGTGCTGCCTCAGCAGGGACAGTTATGGGACGGGTGTCTTCCTCCAGGAGCTGATGTCGGCTCTGAGTCTGCAGCAGCAGCTTCCTCAACCAGAGCCGTCTGATCAGGACTTCTACTCACAGTTTACCAGCACAAACACCGGTAACCAAGCAAGAAGCCTTTGGGAAGTGTCATATTTGTTTTGTCATAAGATCCTACCTAAATACTAATATATGTATTAATTAATTGATTTATTTGTTTTATCTTGTCAATGGATTTGTATAAAAGTATATATTTGTTATCATACTAATTAGATCTGTGCGAAGTTAGAACAAATGTTATTGTTGTAAAGAAGACCAATTGTTGACCCAGGATTAAGCTGACAGGGATTTTTTCTCCCGCTGCAGGTAAGATGCAGAACTACGAGCTGCTCCACAGCAGCAGGGTGAAGTTTATTTATCCCAGTGAGGAGGAGATGGGAGACCTGACATTCATCGTGGCAGAGAGGAAAACTCCGGCCAGCGCAGCGTCTTCGTCATCACGCTCCTTCAACGTCCTGCTCTACCTGCTAGTTTTCCAGGTACGAAGTCCTTCATTTTTGATAACTTTGAATTTGTAAGGGGATTCAACATGCTGGAACTATTTCTAGATGTGCAACAGTGTATCCTTCTGCCTAGTTCTTCTCTGCATTGTCTCCAGTTTCAGTGCAGGTTGCCATACACGATTGGTTTTGGTCTCCGAACAGGCACAACAATAATAAACCTGGCAACCTCAGCTGCACACGGTCACAGTGCACATTACTCCCCCTGGACACAAAGTGTTTTTTAGGTTTCTTATTCGAGACACATTAGCAAAATGACAATAAATACGATTTTGGGAGATTGATAATGTAGGTGTTGATTTGGAGTTTGAAACGAGCATAAAAGCAGCGTTGGGAGTGTTAATTTTAAAATTGTATCCCCATACAGTTACTTATTAATTGTTAAAAACATGTTAAATCCAAATATCTGGTGATCAACAATTCTTATTTTCATTATAGAACAGACAAGAACCTTCACACAACAACAACAGAAGATTTGCAAACACAAATTCTTAAACAGGAATAATATGTTTAAAAAACTGATAAAAAAAGTGTAATTAATTAAGAAAAATACTAAATCATTCACTCAATACAAACAGTCAAATCTCATACAATATTTTATTTGAGGATTTTGTTTAAGGATATTTGTATCTTTAGTTTGATGAGACACTATACGCTTTATTTGAAAACCTGAATAGAAGCTTTAAATGTTCTGTAGAGCCCTAGTATTTTTAAACTGTGCTATAAAATAATTCTTATTCCTTCCTCCAGGTCCAGATCCCGAGTCAAGGCTCCACTCTCTCCGGCCTCTCTTCCTCCTCCTCCTCCGGGCTGTGTCCGGTCCTCCAGCCCAGGACTCTGATCCTGACCAGCACCGACGTGTTCCTGTTGGATGAGGACTACGTCAGCTATCCTCTGCCAGACTTTGCCAAAGAACCTCCCTCCAGGTGAGCACACAAGACGCCCTCCTGTACCACAACATTTCAAAAACCTTTTATCCTTCTTTATCAGAGGGAGTCATCTAATAGCAGAAATAATTCCTGTGATGCCCCTCGGATGGGGAAGCAGGGCCGACCAACGCTAAGCAATAAAATCTGTGAATTATGTCGTCTCCCCTGAATGCTGCCGAGCTGTACTTTGGCTGCAGGCTATAAAAAAACGGTGTGAGGAAGAACTACAGACTGTGTGCCTTAGAAATAAATACTTATTACTATTGTTATTATTCTGATACTCAGACCTTATTGACATTTCACTGTGACTTCATTATTTACTCTGACAATAACTTATATAGCTCTAAATGGTGAATACTGATTGAAGTTTTTGACACATTTTGACTCTGATTTGTTCAGTACCTTTTCCACACATGGAAACCCATTTGTGACCAAAGACAATATTTAGTATGATAAGAAATAAATCCACAATTGTTCTGAGACGGAAAGGCTTGAAATATGGAATGAACATAAACTATTCGACTATCTTACAATAAAACGTTGACATTTTATTCATCATACATGAATAATTGCAAAGATCTGCTGCCTCACCCGATATATTATCTATATATTATCACATCAGTCATTCCATTCATCATTAACTCCCAATCCAGAAATGTACCTTTACACCTATCTGCTGCTTCCTAGCTAAAGTCATAACTTCCTCATCACCTTCATCATGTCGTCCTGCAGGGAGCGGTACCAGCTGCGTGAGGCTCGGAGGATCCGTGACCTGGACCGGGTGCTGCTGGGGTACCAGACGTACCCTCAGGCTCTGACCCTGGTGTTCGACGACCTTCCCGGCCCCGACCTGCTCTGCCACCTCACCATGGACCATTTCACTGCTGCAGGGGAGGAGGCCCCGTCCAGAGGGGGTGGATCCAGCAGCGGAGCAGAGGGCGAGGTCCAATGGTGCGTCTTCGTCCCGGGAGCCGACAGCAGAGAGAGGCTGATCTCACTCCTCGCTCGCCAGTGGGAGGCGCTGTGCAGCCGGGAGCTTCCTGTGGAGCTCACCGGCTGATTGGATGTCGGTCAGGTGGATGACCTAGTTGGGAGCTGATGACAGACGGAGTCATCATAAGAGCGAGATGATTACCTAGCAGATTAAGGGCTTGGTTAGCTGTTTAAAGGCTTCAATATGCTCTAAACGAAGAAGTGTTTTCTGACCACATCTAAAGGCAAGGCTTTTTCACATAGAATGGTGGTCTGATAGAGAGTCTGGCAAGATGTGATGAATCAATGAAATGGGGCTAACAATGTACAATGGATTGTGCTCGGTTGTCCATATGAAAAGCGACACAAATAAGTGTGGTGAGTGTTAAAAAAAAGTAAGAAGAACAAATCCTGTGTACGTACAATAGAGCTGCAACAATTAGTAGACTATTAAAAGCTTATTTCTTTATAATCAAGGTAATTTTTCATTTGCAAAAAAGAAACAAACTACTGTTATCAGCCAGGTTTCCTGCTTTTATCTGTTTTATCTCCTATTAAACAGAATATCTTTCAGTTTTGGACCGACAAATGAGGGAAAACATTTAAAGATAACACATTGTAAATCTGGAATAGACATTTTCACTAGATTCTGACATTTTATAGAACAAACTGTTATAATCAATAACACATTTTCTCTTATTCCTCCAGCCAGTCGCATCATCAAGTCTGCTTTCAGAAGCTATCCCTGGCTGCATCCTACTGCCTCACCACCTCTCTCAAACACCTCTCTCAAACACCTCTTTCAAACACCTCTTTCGTGTATTTTGCATGTCCTTGTAGTCTTGAATAGAGAAAACAGCGTTTTTTCCTAGAACACATTCCTTGTGTTGCACTCAGTTCTTCACATGTAAAGTGACAGCAGGGTTAGCAGTTTAAAAAAACATATGCTTGAGAGATAATTTGACCCTTACGGCCCGTCCACACAGCGGCGTGCGTTGAAGCTTCCCGGCGGGGGGGGGGGCTGAAACTTGACCAACAACCAATCACATGAATCTCCCGCCCCGGACACACAAGCACGCGGTTTGATTGGCCAGAGCTTGTACTGGCATATGATTCGATTGGCTGACGCTTCCGCCGAAGCTTCAAAAGTTGACATTGCTCAACTTTTGCAGCGAGCAACGCTTTTGAAGCTACAACGCACGCCGCTGTGTGGACGGACCGTTACACCTCCTAACATGGAGGCAATCCATGTGTAAAGTTGCCATGATTGTTGGTTTCAGACAAGCACACAGTTTGAAGCATACTGGGGCCTTTGGTCGTACTTCTTACAGATTGAAAGGGATCTGGCTTTGTTCAAACAACGTTTGGTGTCCGCTCCAGAAAAAAGTCTTGGTCAAACTCAAAGGACAGCAGACTGCCATTACAGGCCTGAGACCTCACACTGAGCCGAAACAGTCAGAGTTTCTGGCACAACCTCACCTTATTTTAAAGTGTCTCACACGCAGCAAATGTACAGACTTGAGAGAGAGACAGACAGACAGACAGACAGACAGACAGACAGACAGACAGACAGACAGACAGACAGACAGACATGTGTTGCACAGTAGGGGGTGCTGCAGACAGTCCACAGGAGTTTACTACCTTTTAATCAACATTACCTTAAAGGAACAGTCATTTCAGGTATATCCTCTTGTCCTCTCCGGAGTCAGATGTATAGCAGTTTCATTTCTGTGAGTTCAGTACAAATAAGTATAACGTGTTATCCTAGCTTAGCACAAAGACTGGAAGCAGGGGGAAACTGCCAAACGAGCCTCATTAAAACTCCAAAGTTGTCTGATTTACATGTGTTTATTTATGTAAAGTTGCTCTTAAAACCAAAAAAACATGTTTTTACTTTTCTGCAGTCTGACTCTGGGCGAGGAAACAAAAGGGATCTCCAAAAATGTTGGACTGTAGTTTTTAAATAGCACACACACAAACTTACACACACACACACTCAGCTGCTCTGCACAATATGCTCTCTGAAAATTGTATTCCTTGCACATTGATGAAGCAGTATTGTTGAACTGTATATTGAAGCTTTTTTATTGACATGATATTAATGTAATTATGTTTGGGGCAGACGGATGTTTTCCATCCTAAAGCAGATTTTGTACTAAACACGGAGATCCTTGAGGATTTTTTCCAAAAAGAACTCTTAAATATCTTATTTAGTATTATCATTAAGTATTATTTTTTATATTTTCTTAGTTTTATTTTATTGTCTGTTTTGTCTTTTATACATTGTTATCGACAAATGGGAAGCCAGTCAGTGCTGGACCCTGCCACCATTCACCACTGTTGTTTATGTTTCATGTTGTCTTGTAAATGGGGAATGCCACTCAATTAAAGTGAAAACGAAAACTCCACAAGTAACTATTTCCTGTTTGATGAGGTGACAGTGGTTTGATTCTTTGACTGCAGTCTGCACATATTTCAGCCGATGCAGCATTTAAACCAGAAAACCAGTCTACTGTGTTACTGATAACATGCAAGTTTTAAACCTTTCTGTCATAATCCCAACTAAAACTGACATCTGCCCAAAGGTCTCTAACAAATATTGTTAAATCAGAAAAACATAGTGTGAAACAAGTGAAGAATTATGTCAATACTGTAAAGGCCTGATTGCAGTATTTTAAGAATGTATCCTTTCATGAAACTACATTTAGGCCAACAATCTAAAGATTTAGAATTTATTTTCCAGAGATGACTGTATACCTGGCAAGTTGAAGAGGTTTTTGAGACAGCATTTGTATTCGGTTGGCATGTAAAACACTTTTTCATTGGTTTGTATTTCTATAATTTTCTATGTTAGTTTCCTGAGAAGACATTTCATTTTCAATATAGGGACATTCTAGATTCAATTCAGTTGGAAATTACGAAAGGGCTTTGTTGGGGGAGGACTTTTACTCACAATCTCAGTATTTTTAAACCCCTGGCTGTCGAGAACAATTTGTTTTCCAGGGAAAAACATCTTAAACAAACACTGTCAGCAGTCGATTCCTCTCTGGGCTAAGTGAGATTTTGATGACTTGGCGGTTCAGCAGCACGAAACATACCACTACCTTTCAACTCGACCAACTTCCTCTATTTCCTGTCTGTCGGAGTTGCTCGTCATGAATTTCCTTTTTGGGGACACTTGAACAGACATAGGGCAGCGATACTGTACGAGGAAGTGTGATCAGCAAAACCACCAAACTGCCCTCTGATTGGGATTCTCTGGTACCAGTAGGTCAAATGACCAACGGGTCCCAGGCTTCTTTCATAAGAAACAAACAAATCTTATTCAGTTGTCCCTAAAATCATTTTCAGAAAAGTTTGGCTCCAATCTGATTATGACAATGAAATGTATAGGAACAAACCAGGTTAACATCAAGCTTGAAAACTACTTTGGAGATGTTTATTACATTCGCCAAGGATGTTTTATCTCCCTAGTTTGTAAGCATCGGTCAAACTTATTTATTTGATAAAATAAGGAGGAAATTCAGCCGTTAACCATGGTTTTGCATTTTAAGGTTGAATTAAAAAATGTCTTCACATTCTAAATTGGGCTTCATTTTCTGCCACTTTAAACCTTGATAAGATAATTGTATGGCAACTAATGGCTTCAGTTTTGCTCTTTGGTTCAGGCCAACTATTCAATTTGGTAAAGGTTTGAAAGTATATGGTGTAGTTTACATTTAAGTAGAATAGTATTGTTTAGGTTAGTCAACTTTCCAGTTTAGAGGCACATCTTTATTTCCGTTAAAGGTAAGAATGGAGAAACCAGCTCGAGTGCGCTTGAATTTGAAAGTACGCAGCCGAAAAAAATCTGCCCCTTCCTTCAGACTTCCTCACAAAGCCCCTCCTCCACACACGAATGCGCACATGACCAATGAGGGCACGAGATAAGTTTGTGCACAGATGGAAGGCTGACAGGCAGGTAGGCCATCCAGTTATTTTAGCCGGGCGGGCTAAAATGATTGGTCGTGCTTTTTACAGTACTACGGCTTCCACAGATGAATTTTTTTATGGATTTTTTGTCAAAGCACTTAAGATATTCATTGCTATCGGGATGTTAAGAGCATGATTGATTGATTGATTGAAAAGTTTATTAACAGCTTGTATATTGGGTACAGTACAGTACAGCTCAAAACATACAATTGTTAAGGGGATGCAGACCAGAGAAAGACTTTCGTCTTGTTTACATCAGGGTCCCCCATTTCCAATTCATCATATCATTTAAGACATATAAGACATATTTGACATACAGATGGCTTATTTACAATTTACATACAGGTGGTTTTTTACATACAGATGGCTTATTTACAATTTTCATTTTAGATTTCGTTCTAATACATCCTAACCGGACATTTAAGACATACCAAGTCTACAGATATACAGTTAGTAACAGAGTCTAAAATGCGAGTATATACATAGATGGGGGGGGGAAGCTGTCCATTGTACGACAGGTTGAGATTTGTACCATTACCGGGGCCAGTTTTGCAATGCTTTCCCCCGAAGGTGCTCTTTAAGAGAGGTTTTGAAGGTAAGTATAGTTTTACTTTCCTTTACAGTTGTGGGAAGAGCGTTCCACCTTGATGTGGCATAATTGCGAAACGTGTATTCCCCTTTTTTTGTGCCAAATCTGGGTTTTACATGATTTGTGGAGCTCCCTCTGGTGTTATGATCATGGTATTCCTTGACCTTTGGGAAGAATTTTGACATGTACATGGGTACCATAGAGGTGTAGTGGATCTTGTAGACCAGGCCCATTGCAAGTAGCTGTACTCTGTCGTCTACTCTAAGCCATCCTAGGTTGTCAAAGTGGGCAGAGGTGAGGTGGGTTCTAGATGAAAGGTCAAGCAGTAGTCTGACCAGTTTATTTTGCGATGTTTGAAGTTTTATTTTTAGCGCCTTGGAGGTGCTATGGTACCATGACGTGCAAGCATAGTCATAGTACCCTTGAATGAGTGCTCCTGCCAGAGTTTTCAGGGTGTTTTTGTTTACCAGAGAGGAGATCCGGTATAGGAATCTAGTTCTTTGATTGACTTTTTTTATTACATTGGATGCCATTTTGTCACAGGAGAGGTTTGCCTCAAGAATAGATCCTAGGTATGTAATTTCCTTCTTACTTGTGACAATAATGTCACCCACTGCAACTGAGAAGTCGTCGGATTTGCTGAGATTATGTTTCGAACCGAAGAGAATGGACTCTGTTTTACCCAGGTGTAATGATAATTTATTATCGGCGAGCCAGGTGCAGATTCTGCCGAGCTCGGAGCTGAGGGTTTTTTCAACCTGCAATCTGCTCCTGTCAGAGACCAGCAGGGCTGAGTCGTCCGCGAACAGGAACAAGTTGCAGTCACATGCTGATGACATGTCATTTGCATAAATTAGGAACAGTAACGGACCTAATATGCTTCCTTGTGGAACACCACAGCTCACTGGGAGGGGGGGGGACAGAGTACCGTTTACCTCCACCATCTGTTCTCTCCCCTCCAGGTAGGATTGCATCCAGCTCACCGATAGTTTATCAAAACCAATTGCTTTTAGCTTGTCAATCAGAATGGGGTGATTGACAGTGTCGAAAGCCTTTTGTAGGTCCAGCATCACCATGCCGCAGTATTTACCCTCGTCCACCTCTTGTTTGATGTGGTCGTTCAAATAAAGAAGGCATGTGTCAGTGGAGTGGGATGTTCTAAAGCCAGATTGAAATTCATAGAATTCCATGGAATATAACAAAAAGTGTATCTCGAGCCGGTTTCTCAAATTTACCTTCCCCACCTTTAACTACCAGTTCTTTTTAGCTGCTTACATTTAACGACTAAAACAATTTGGGTTAGGGTTAGGTAATAGCCCGGATTAACTACAATTTAGGTTTTGGTAAACTAACAGACCAGAAATGGCAGGTTAGTAAACGGAGCATTTTAACAGCTATAACATGTTGGTATAATGTAAGTAAGCTACAGGTATAGTTAAGCAGCTACAATTGTTGGATAATAATTTACTTTGGTGGCAAAAAGGTGGGTTCAGGTTTTTTGTGTTTTTGTTTTGAGGCTGGCTAACAATTTAATTGCTAACAGTTTGTTTCATTTTAGCTAACGTCACGTTCAACAGTTCATTCAATCTGGTACAGGTTAGCTAACAGTCGATTTTAGCAGCTTAAACAGTGCGCAGTTTCGAATCACATTTTAATGGTAGTGTTTTTTGACTGTTCAGTGAGCAGCTAATACGAAGGTCAGGTTTATTTAAAAGTTCAGTTTAACAGCCCATGAGTGATTCTACAATTTAGGGTATATTCCATGTCCATTGATGATAATTATAATTATTCTAACTATTTTCTTCAAAAATATCATGTTTTGTCTATTATTGGAAAGCATGTTATAATATCACACAAACATTATGTGCATCCTATGCTTTATTTAGCTTGAAATGTGTCATGATGTTCTTAAATTGTCAGTTTTTGCTATGTCCGTTTTTCAGTTGAGGGTGTCTTGGTTTCAAAATAATGAATAAAAACCATTAAAGTAAATTAAAAAAAAATATTCATTTATTTCAAAAGTCTAAATACTAAAGAATAATAACATATTTTTAATTGATTTCCTCCTTTAAATAATTTAAATATCTTAATATATGAATGTCCGCAAAAGTTCTGTCAACTATGTTACTAACAGAACTCCCCCCTTTAACTCAAAAATGGTTTGTCCCAATACCATATCACTAGCATCACATGATGCCATGTTCCTCTTTGGCAGACATTTTGAACACACTGTGGTGATTGTCCTCTAATTTTTTACAATATTTTATGTATAATAGCACATTGTCAATGAGTATATTAATTGACCATCAACAATGTTACGTACATTGTTATGGTTTACAATTGTTTAATGATTTTAATTCAATTATATGTTCAAATGTGATGTTAACCTGTTCAAGAAAATGACATGTCATCCAGGCAAGGCCTACCATTGAAATGATGGGTCAAAATAGGGAAATTGTCAACTAGGTTACCTGTCAACTAAGTTACCCAGTACTGTAATAACTATAGTAACTTAGTTGACAGGTAACCTAGTTGACAATTTGTATGACATGTAGACGTCATTACACATCATTTTTTCAAATTTAAAATATCTAAAATAGTGCTTCTGATATCCTTTATAGTATAATGTATATGTACACAGGTTGGAGTTTTACATGACATCTCTTAAAACTATCAAAATGACCTGTATGGTAGTTTTATAATACAAAATATCCCTAAACTTAATGACAGTGCTGAACATATCACATGAAAAAACAAAACTTTAATACAATTATTTTTTAAACTTTAAAAAATCTTTGGATATATGGTAGAATAGACTCAAGAGCCTTTCAAATTTGATTTTACTTGAAG